AACAACATCAGATCTATACCCCTTTCTAGTTATAGAACCAAACAACTCCGTCACATCAACAATTCTATCTGCCAAGCAATAACCATTCATTAAAATGCTGTAAGTAAAAATGTTAGGAACCACACCTCTCTGAATCATAACTTCCAAAAATAATTGTCTAGCCTTCTCAACCAATCCAGCCTTACAAAGACCATCAATTATAGTACTATAAGTAACAACATTTGGCCTACAAATAACACCAAATTCTTCATTCCCATTAATCATCTCTTCATGTAACTTGATAGCAACACTTGTCTTCCCTGTTTTACACAGTCCATCAATCAAAGACCCATAAGTAATCACATTAGGCCTACAACCGACAGCAACCATTTTCTTAAGCAATTCCATTGATTCCACAATCTCTCTCTGCACACAGACCTTTAATCAAACAAGTCAATTTCACAGTGTTTGGGCTAAATCCCACCTTCAAAATCCCCCCAACAACCGCAAAACCATCAGAAACCCTTTTAATTTTACACAAGCAATCGATCAACACGGTCAAATACATTAAATCTGGAGACAAGCCAGTTGAATTCAACCACTTATAAAGCGAAATCACTTCATAATAATGCTTCTTCTTTGCAAGTGCAGTAAAAAAAGTAGTGAAGGATGAAATTGGAGAAATGGGTTGCGAATTAATCATGTAATAGAAAAAGTACAATGCTTCATTCAGTGTAAAGTTACCTGATCGACAATTTTCTTTGAGGAATTTAGCAAGTGAGGATCGTTCAAGGGGTATTTCGGAAGAATACAAAACTTCATTTTTGGAGCTTCAAGTTGTGAGGCTGGGTCAGTGAGCTAACAAAAATAAAACATTAACTTTCAGAGATGTTTTGAGAGATTGTAAACGAACGAAATGAGGATCTCAGAGCTATGTTTGAAGAGGGTTTTTTGTGGGTCGTTCTTCCGGTCATTGCAAAATGCAAATGCATTAAAGAGAAATGCTTTGACAAATTTCACAAACAACCTTTAAGGTTTTTAAAATTGCTAACTAATGACAAGTATCGATCTTTCATGATTTCGAAAGTTGTTCTCACTTTGCACCCTGAAGGTTAAAAATGTAAATCCACTTTCAGGTGCTTTTCGGTTTAAGGTGGTTTTCTACTAAATCCAAAATTATCCAATTGATCAAACAAAATGCAATCCAAAAAAACCAATTTATATAAGTATGCGATTGGAATTTTTTTTTCACTTTTTTTTATTTATTTATAAAATTATAAGATTTAAATAAATCTTGATATTGAATTTGGATTTAGTTTACAATGATATTGAAATATTTTTTTTATATATATTCGTCAAACTTTTGAATATACTGAAATCGATATTTCACGTGGTAGAATATGATATGCTAAAAATTCAAAGAATGTTGTTTTTGCCTTATTAGAAGTTACATGAATAATATTTCGTTATTATATTATCAAAATTACCAAACTATTTATAGTACTGAAATATTTGTATTATTAAAATAATACAATATATTCATTATAACTACTGATTCTACATTATATAAAAGAGTTATATTGACGGCCTTGTAATTTGATATAATAAAAATTATCTAATTTATGAAATAATAAAAATCCCTATTATTAAATTATAGGGGTTAAAATAATAGAATGAGAGATATTTAATAAATATTTATTAGCCTATTTAGCACACTAATAGTTTATTACTAATAAAGGGAATTTTATTATTTCAAAATTTAACTTAAGAAATTTGTGGTAAATAATAAGTATAGCGTGATTTATTCTGCACTTTCAGCTGTTAAGATGTCATAATTAATTATTTTTTTATTTAGTTATGTTACTTTCTCTTCACAGAGGAAAGAAAAAGAAGTCATCGCTACATTGATTGTGGATGACACCTACTCATAAATTGATCATTGAATTCAAATGGTAAGTTATAATCTCTCAATACTCAGTATTTTTCTTCATTCACTATACAGTATTTTTCAAATTGCGGCCATATTTGGATTAATCACCTATACAGTATTTTTTAAAGCTCAGCTTGAGGCCAAGTAGGAGAATGTAAGACTTGGTATGGCCACATGCCACAATTATACAGTTGAGAAAATGCAGTTGAAAGTGGTTTAAGGAGTTATTTAACTGTCTATTTTGATCCTTGATGAGAGGTTAAAGACAGTTGATAGGAGTTATCTTGGTCCTTAGCCTAGTCATAATAAGTATATCACGTTCTCCATCAAAGTGGTATAACACAATACAAAATTCTGGAGGCATAGACTAGAAGACATCTATCAAACATTCTCTCACAAATCATCTACATTTTCGTTTTATTGCAATTCACATTTGGCTTTCTACAACACTTGAACGATATAGTTGGAGGTAAGTCATTAAATTTCGCATTATATATATACATGTAATATTCCACAAGCAAGCGAAAGGATTAATGTGGTTAATGATAAACTGAAAAGAAAATGAAGTTTGTTTGGCTAAAAAGAAAATATAGATTTAAGGTTTTTTTTTTTTTTTTTTTTTTTTTTTGTTCCTTTCATAAATAGTATGTGCAATTAATAAAAATTTTCATCTATAAATTAATGATTTTAATATATGAGACTAGTACACACATTGAAACAATTCATATGAGAAAAGCTAAAAGTAATACCACGCCCACAACCTAATCTCACAACTTTCTCTTACATTTCTAACGTGACAATCGAGTTAGCAATCGTCACGTCAGCTCTTACTATACCTAAGATACTAAATGACTTGACTAAACACTAACAGTCGTTTCTTAAGGATGAACGATCGTTCCTTTATAAAGACTGAATGTTCCTTATGAAGAAATGACCGTTCTTTTATAAGGAATAGATGTTTCTTATGAAGGAAGAACCATTCCTTATTAATAAACGGACATTCATCCTTAAGGAACAGTTGTTCATCTATAAAGAACTGTTGTTTATTTTTAGTCAAAGTCGTCAGTTGACGTTGTTGTCACGTTAGGGTTGTAAGAGAAAGTTGTGAGGTTGGATTGTAAACATGGTATTTTTGAAAAACTAATATTTGGAACTTTGTTTAAAAGAAATGAATAATGAGGTTATTACAAATAAAACCTTGCAGTATGGTTTAATATAATTTCCCTAAAAAATTGGTAATCATGCACCTAACCCCAAATCCAATCCAATGACCAAGAGATAGATTTTTGTTTAAACTAGAATAGATGGATTTGAGATGGTTAAGTATAATATGTTACATAATTCGTTTTGTTAGGGTTTTTAAACTGAATAAACAACATTTAACCTTTATTTCAATGTAAAGAAATATGAACCACATACATGAAGTAATTCAGTTAATTAATTATTCTAAGTATAGTTAGGATTATGTTATATATACATGTTCATTTGTTCTATCACATTCATCAAAGAGAGTTGTTGATCATCACAGTAAGGTAGTATCTCTATTAACAATGGAAAGCTCAATGATGAAGGGTGTTGTGTTGAAGATGATAATAATGGTGGTTTTAGTTGTTGGTACATTGATTCAAATAAGTGAGGCTGGAATTCCATTTTGTTGTAGATATAATCCAGAATGTTGTGAGGCGGCCTTATCTCATCCCAATGTCAAATTCCCGATTAATAATTAATTAACTTCATGTTATGTAATTTCATATTATTAATCCTTGTATGTATGTATAATGGTTGTGAGGAAACTCTTACAACTATATAATACTTGATGTTACACCACATTAAATGTATTTATAATAAATGGAGAAATCTTGTTTATTTACTCAATATAAATCTCTTCTTCTTTTTCTTATATATATTAACGTCTATATTATGTATAATATCGCCCATTTTACAAGTTGTCGATATCAGGTTTTAGATTACTGGATTTTTAAAAATAGTATTCGAGTTTGGATACCAGCTCAAGATCAGCCTCACGAAAATCTTAAATATTAGAGACCATTTTTGTTGGTTGCCAATCAAGAATTAATAGTGGCAGTTTGATCATCTGGTTTTCATGATTATCCTCAACTGTTTGCCTTTAGCAGGCATATAGAACGACTTATCGTCCGATGCCTCCCTGAAACTTAAGAAAATATCAAGCACTACCCCATAGGTATTAGAAATCATCAGCTATCTCCCCTCACATTTCATAAGATCATCACTTATCTCTCTTGATCTTGTTAGTTTTGACCATTCTATTTCATAGTTAAAGAGAGGTTTTACTAATATTTTCCTTAATCATCAAGGGAGGTGAGAGATAATAACACTTATATGGATTTATATTGGTTGAGTATCATAACAAATAGCCTTTGTGTGTATGGTCCTAAGTCTTCTTTCTGCCTGCAAAACAGGGGTGAGCATTGGTAAATGGTAGAACCATAACTGGCAGCAACCCACCTACCTATTCCGAGTAGGAATTGGAATCAACACCATTAGGGTCCAGTTCTGGTTCTGGTACTGGAACCAAAACCGAGGTTTGAGTACCTGGATAGAAATTGGACTGAATAAAATTTTTATAAACTATTGGGGGTGTGTACACTTTTTAAAAAAGTTGGGAGTAACTGAATTAACCCAAGTCCCCCAAGACTGGAACCGGAACTGGAACCATTCAGTTCCAGTTCCAGGTTTCTAGGAATTGAAACCGATTGGTTCTGATTCTAATTCCAAAACTTAGGAACCAATCAGTTCCAGTTTTGATTCCTTAAAAAAAAATACAAGATACAAAGAACCGATCATCCCTACTGCAAAGTGTTTGTCTTGTGCAAAAGGTAAGCGAGTTTAAATGGTTCAAAACTTCAAGTTAGCGTCTGATAATCTTCCTCACTCTGCCCTTTTTATAATCAGAATTTAGCTTATCAAATTCATGCCCTTCTTCAATCATATACTATTCTCACGATATAGTATTTTATTCTCTAAACACCTTTGTTCAAATCAGATAGGATCAGAATCCTCTCGTAATCTGAGCTTTAATCCTGAGTAGATATAGACTTGTAATCGGTAATTAAAGAAAAGGAATATAACATGAGAAAAAATCTTGACCATAAATGAATTACACCACACGTCAAAACATCTTCCAAAGCTCAGGCAAGATGGGATCATACGAGGATCCATATTCTTTGACAAAATGAAAATTTCTGTAGAACAAACCAATAATGCTTTCAAAAGGAGAAAAAGAATGCCATGATATAAATTATGCAAGTTCTACAAGAATCAAATTCAGGTTCCAGAACTGCCCCCCAGGGTAAAATAGGCAGTCTGGTCCAGTAGATTACACTATGCATAAAGGTTTTCTCCGGGATCATCATAGTTATCTTCGGCCATATTCAGATTCTCACGTATCTTGTTGCCAGACAACAGTTGGCCTTTTGTAATTCGCCACGTTTCTTACAGCTAGAGGTTAATCTATTTCGAGTATCTCTTCAGGCAGGAAAACCCTGAAAACAGCATAGTGATGATTCAAGCTTTTCTCCCCTTGTAGTCTATGAACACTGCCCAATGCACCGGCATTGGGATTCGGGAAAGCGTAAAATATACGTCTAATTCTTTGATGGACAAGTGCCATCGCACACCTTGCATATCGAAAATGTAAATATATCAGATTACAGAAACCAACCCCATTTGCAGGTGATAGAAACTTTTTTAGGATATGAATTTAAATTTACAAAAAAAAAAAAAGGCATTTGGTTTGAGAATCTTACATTACACAAGGCTCCCAAACAAGATAGATGTCATATCCAGTACATAAATAAGGTCTTGCTGATGTGGAATAAGAAACTTCAGTGTTAGCTTCGGATTCCTCACCATTCTCAATCTGAAATAGCATGAAGACATAAATTCCAGCCTATATAAGACACCAAGTGAAGCAAATGATTGTAGAAACACAATTGGTGAAAGCTGGGAAGCTGGGGTAGTTCAACTCAAGAACCAACACAAATCGTTTTTAGTAGATTCATAGTTTAGTTGATTACATCATATCAGCTTCTTGGTTTAGGAATTTTCTAGATAAGATTTATACTTTCTACTAGAAGTTTCATGTGTGGGATTTAGTACAGTTGAAGAAAAATAATTTGCTAAGTAACCTTTTTAGAGTGGTTTTATTTCCAATATTCAAGAGGTTGATTTTGGATTGATAGCTTCATAATGAACCCTGGTTCGGTTCTGGTTTAACACTAATCCGACCAAACCAGTTTGTAGCCTCAGCTATGGTTCCACCAATAACAACCCTCTCTACTGATTGTAAGAAACACCAAAAGAGTCAAGAATAAACAGATACATAATCTGTTTCAAATTAAATTAAGGGGCAAAGCATATGTTCTTGCACCACCCAGCCTCACTGGTTCTCTAAACGAACCCAACACTGCATGGTTATTAAATGCAAGTAAGAAAGAAGTTAGCTTACATTTGGAAGGTCAGTCTTGTGTCTTTTGGCTGGAGTACCTGTGGAAGAAGACTGTGTACTATCCAATGGAATAGAATTATCTCCTCCATGTCCCACACTCGGGTAGAGGCTTCTGTCTCGTAGAGCAGAGGATTCAATAGCGACCATGGCAGCATGTCGTAGAGGATGCCAATTACAAGAAGTTGAATGTGATTTCTGATGAGCCCACTGCCAAGGGTTCAAACAAGAAACACTAGTATATGACTGTTTGTTTTCATTAACTGAAACATTTGAAGGCAAAGTCATGTTGCCTGCTACTCCATTGGAATCAGGATGGAAGCCCAATGCTTCATGCTTCTTCGAGCAGCTTTCAATGCTATTCTCCGTAGCAAAACTGCAAGTGCAGACCTGATCACATGCACTTACAATCACCTGCTTAACCAAAGGATCTACTATGACAGCAGCATTTACTATCTGCATAAGCAGAGCAAAAGAAATGCCTTCAGAGAAAAACATCAACCATAGCATCAGCACAATAAAAAAAATTAAGGTGAGTATATAGGTGACTCCAATCAATTTGCAGTTCTTTTTACTTTTCCCCCCGGAGGGAAAATAAAGGTAATGTATTACTGTAAAAAACAGTAAATGAGGTATCCACCGCAACAAATGAACCCATCTATCTAAATTCTAGGACTTTGAAAAAACTATCATGCATCTGTGTACTCTGCAAAAACAACAAACAAAAAATCAAGATTCTTACAGCCCCAAAAAAAAAAAAAAAAAGAGGACCAGAACTAAATTACAGCCCCTAGCTAAATCGATCTGTAGCTCTATACAAGCAATCTACCAGTTTTCAAGGGGCCCCATGTCGACCCTAATAAAAATTTTAATGCCAAATGACCTAGTATTACCACACCCATGTAGGATAATAATCAAGACTAGGACCCAATAATCTTTAAGCATCAAATCACAAGTTGTCCAATGCATTAATTGGCAATTACAGCAAGGAATAAAACACTAGGACAGGAAGTATGACATAAAGTACTTCTGCTTCTCAACTGATAGAATCTATATGTTGAACTCTTGAACTTACTAATCAAATATATCAATGCTACCTCAACTAATTATCTATCACAGATTCAACTTGAGTCTTTAAAACTAGTAAAGAAATCAACCGAAGCTTTGGTAAGAAGTGCCATAAAGCAGACTACACTATTAAGACTGAAGTAGAAGTAGCACATTGATCAAATATGAATGAAATGAACCAAACCATGGAAAGAAATTGATATAGTTACCGAACCATCACCAGATTTTGCCAACTCAACAGTAAATTTCATGAAGCTGAAAACTGATTGTGAGTCCTCTTCACTGAATCCAGTAATACCATCAATATTGCTGCAGATTAAAAAGAGGGTAAATTTGAGGTTCTCTTAGTAATGTGACTTGAATTCCAAAGATCCTCAGCAATTAAATTGGAAAGAGGAAAAGAAATAAAATTAAAAATTTGAAATTGGAAGATAGAGAGAGGACACAAACTAACATACTTCCATAAATATCTTATTAAAAAAAAAAATATATATATAGATCTCTGGATATCAATGTTTATGCTCTTTAAGAATAAAATACAACCATGTGCTTGTATGTAAGTAGTCACTCAGTAATGTATAAATATTAGGCAAACAGTAGTAAGATATTGTAGAGCTTACTAAGTTGGTGGATGATATGATGTTGGCCACAGCTTGCATTGCTCTTCCCATTCTTCTTTTGATGATGCAGCATATTTACACACCTAAATTGAAGTCAAAAGTTAAACATGACTATCTTGACTAGACCCAAAGAATGCCCGATGATCTTAGTTTACTAAGGAATACTATAGCACAAACAAATATAAAAACTGAACATGCAATAAATACTTTGATTTTCAGAGAATTACTTTCACTGGGGCTACACATTTTTTTTTTCTTTTAATCAGCTCATGAACCAATAATTTTCAAATTTTGAATTTGAAAAGTTTACTTCAATGACAGCCAATTTAACAAACACTGAGAACTATGTAATTTCACATTCAATTTAACCATGACACACTGTTATACCACAACTACTGAACATCAAGAAGCTAAAATCAAAATCATAATAACTTCAGGGGGAAAAGAGAAAGCACGTTATTTTAAAGCATAACAAAACTACACATTTTCAAATGCACAATCCAGATAAAATTCCAAATTCCTAAAATAAAATAACACAAAGAAAAAAGCAATATAAGCATATCAACAAGTGCAGAAGGCCACGACTAATTGCAACAGCATATATCCTATAGTTGCAAAAAATGTACATACATTAATTAACTGAAAGAGAGAAAGCAATTAGAAAAGGAAAAAGGAAATCATCCATGGCCAATTCTGAGAAAGTGTAATTACATCCATAATATTAGAGCTTCCAAACAAGGCTACAGAAAACACACTAGAGCAACTAAAGATAAACCTATAACATAAAAATATCAATAACAGAGAATTGCCACGCTGCATCAATATTGTGTACATCCTAATTCTTTGCAAATAATTCCTTCCAAAGAAGCCTCTGACCTCCATCTCAATGTCCTTGTATTTGATAGTAATCTAGTATGATGGCTCTGCTCTAAAACATATTACAAAGAGCATTACAATCAACTCACAAACCTTTAATAGAATACACCTACAAAATTTACTAACAACCCTATCATTGAACACTCGGAAACAAACCTAATACTATAGTCTAATCATTATGCACTTTAATTGATTACATAATTATCAAAAGCATCAAAGAAACACAAAATTCCACAACAAAAAAGGAAGACCCACTTTTGTGATAAAAGGACTCAACTGGTAGGAATTGATAAGCTCCTGTACATCCTGTGGGATGCTGTTCAATTGGCTGTCATTTTCACCAGCTAGACATAAGATCACTGACAACTGAGTTTTTCCTGCCAACAAGTAAACCAATTATCACCATCATATTCTAGAAATATCCCAAAACTTCACTGCATAAATTTTTAGTAGTAGAAAAAGAAAAGGGAAGGAGGATGGGGGACAAAGAAAAATGTTCTTTCACACCTTATAATACAAAATTAAGATGCGCTTGCTGAATAGCACTTCCCACAATAGCACCTATAACACTTCTCTAAAGAACACCTATTAGGTGTTTCTCAAAGAACCACTCCAAATGCTTATCTGATCTGAAAGAGAGTGTTTATCTACTTTAATCTACTAGTACATTTGGAAGGGGTTTTCAAAAAGGCTCAAGCATTATTTTAGTGTATCAAAATAACATCTTCTTTACAAATTGCTCCTCAAAAGGCACTCCAAGCGCCTTTTAAATCCCACTAAGTGTCTTTCTTAATTTCAACCAAACATTACAAGATAAACACAGAAACACTTTTAGCTATTTGAAGGTGTTCTTAACCATATCAAATTGCTCCCACTTGCACCATAAAAAACAGCAACCCAAAAGGAAAGAAAATCTTGTCGACCCCATTCTGAAGCATGGTCAAAAACAGTCATAGCTTACCCTCAATATAATAAAAACATTTTTTACCCCAAAAAAAGAATTAAGAACTATTTTTCACAACTGAAAACAAATGTATGTTTCAATTAACTTTCATACAATATAAAAATGAAAAAAAAATATATAAATAAAGTACCAATCAAACTGAAAATTAAACACAGACCTCCTTCAAGTGACTTCTTCTGTACTCGTTTAACATGCCGCAGGTTTTCCAGGGGCAGTGCTTGATTTAAACGCCTATTCAAAGATACCCTAGTGTTATTTTTATTAAAAAAAAAAAATTAAACTTCCTATTTAATGGCTAATTTTACCTTACAATGGTGTTGGTGAGCTTTGGCTCAATGGGTGAAGCATATACATTCACTACAAAAGATATAATAAATTTATAAAATGAATATAAAATATAAAATAATTTAAATAAATACTCAAATTGGGACAGGGGATTTCGAAAACTAACCGGTCGGTTGTTGATGGGGAGAGATGGGTGGATTCTCCGGGATGTGGAGGATTCGCCACGTGTCCAATCGCAAAGCCACATCGCAGCGGCGTAGCCACCGAAGCCCCTCGCAGCGGCGTGGCGTTTCTTCCTCTCTGCCGGCGGCCATCAACAGTTCAGAGTTTGTGTTTTTTTTTTTTTTTTTGGTTTAGAAGAGTGGGGAAGTGGTGAGAGTGGTGCTGCGTTTTGGTTGGGTTTAAATAAATAAGATGACTCTCTCTGAATTTCTTAGGGATGAATTAAACCTTTTAAAAACCCGAAGGGTTTCATTGAATTCATTTGTTTTTGTTCAATAATCAATATTGTAGCTTTATAAGGTCTAATTTCTTGTCGGCCCCTAATTTTTGAAAGAGTTAGTACCGACTCTGGGGTTTCATTAATGAACAGATTCGCCCTTACATACATGGGTATATTTTTCTGGGATTTCTTGACGCCCTAATGTTTGGTTAAATAACAAAGTTCCCATGAGATTTCAAAAACAACCAAAATTCTCCTAAAGTTAACCTTTTCTTAGTATACCATTAGAGATGAAGTAAAGTTACACCCATAACCTCTTTTCATAAACTTTCTCTCAGAACCCCGATATGAGAGCTTACGATCAACTGTAATTTATCGAGTGGGACCCAGCTAAGACCCATTATGAGTTGACCAATTGCGAGTTATCACGTCGGGATTGTTTAAAAAAAAATGTGTGAGAAGAGATCGTGGATGTAACATTTTCCTTAAAGTTTATAATGTGATAAGTGAATAAATATTTATTTAAAGTATGTTTGACCGAGTTTATGAAAATTAGTTTATAAGCAACTAGTACTTATGAGGTAATTTGAGCTTATAAGCATTTAAAATTTAAGCAATTACGTGTTTGGTTAAAATACTTATAAGTGATTGATAAGTAATTAACGTGTATAGTAAAATGTAGTTTATAAGTACATTTTATTTTTAAAATGACAAAAAAAGGTACTAGATTATTTTATCAAATGAAAAATAAGGTTATAAGATGAAATTTTAATATTTGGTCAAAGTAGCTTATAAGCAGAGTGACTATAAGCCAAACACCCCCTTGGTTGCCCTTTTGTTGCGTATTTTAACATCAAAAAATTGATGATAAGAAAATTCTATTATTTCTCTACAGGGTGTCTTTATAATTACATCATTGATGAATGTAAAAAACTTTAGGAGAATTTTTTTAATTAAAAGATTGCAAAGAGATTTTTATTAAAACTCCCAAAAAAAACTGTCATTAGCACTTTATTTTAATAAATAAAAAATATCTTAATCACTTTATTAATTTTCTTTTTTAAATAATATACCTTATTAAATTCATTTAATCTTAAATTTAAAGAAACTTTACTGTATCTAAGTAATACTTTTCCAAATTTTAACCTTTATTTTAAAAAGGTCATATTATATGTACAATATTTTCATACATTATTTCTCATGTAATATGACGCGACAGAAGATAATTTGATGAAGTTTGCATGGATGTTACTTTTGGCAGTTGGATTGATTTCAGAATTCAGCGCAAAAAATTTCTGTCAATCCAAGCCGGAACCCTAAACCTGCGAATACCAAACCACAACCACATCCTTCAACCGGCAGACCACCATAGTCGTTGCCAACACAGAAACCATCGGCAAAGTCTCTATCGAGTTATCGTCTTTGTCATTCGCGTTTTGCGAAACGACAACTGCAACCCTAAATTAGCTAGAGGAAGACGAGGGGTCGACGAGAACTACCGGTCGGTGGAGGATGACGACAGGTCGAGGAGAAGCAGGCTATGGCGACGTCGTCTGCAGCAAGGTATACCGCATCGCCCTTTTTTTTTTTTTTTGTAATTTTGTTGAATATAGTTTTTATTTGTGTTGAATCTGTGGCTGTTTGGTGGTTTTGAGGGAGGAGCTGGGTTATGTATATGTTTTATTCCACCATCTTACTGAACTGATATATGTTATGTATCCAGAATAGAGAATAGAGTTGTTTCAGTTTATCACACGAAATTCAAACTGAGTTCGTTTACCTTTTTGCAAGTAAATCATGAATACTTTGCTATATATATATATATTTTTTTTTTGGGAGAAATTTTTTATGGCCTATTGTTAATCATGAACTTGTTTCTTGTAGTTTCTGAATGTTATTTGACAGACTAGACAGTTTGATTGGAATCTATCGTGTATAGAATTTAACTACACTACTTTGTTTTGGGAAGTCAGGAAAACAAAATTTGGGAAGAATAGGTTATTACAGCAGTCCAACATCAGCTCGTCTCATGCAAATGCAGCAGCTCGTGGCGAACTGGTTGCAGAAGCAGTTGCCACGAGTAGCTCGTCTCATGCAAAAATGTAAATGCAAAAGCTCGTGGCGAACTGGTTGCCATGAGCAGCTCATCTCATGCAAATGCAGCAGCTCGTGGCATCCTCAAAGACGTTGATATGCAGCCACATTCTATATCAGATGGACACACCTCACATGATTATTGTTGAGGAAAATTACCAACTGGTCTTATTCATAGCTGAGGTATCCTTGTACCATTATGTAAATTTACAGTTTGTTATGCTAGCTGTACAGGAATCTTTTGATTTGTTTCATTTTGTATCGTGTATAAAGCAGTGGCATCATTTACAGTTTAATTCAATTCAATACAATCAATGCAATAGCATTTTCAACAACACTGCTTTGTCCTGTTGTTATTTTTCTTGTTACCCTGATATAAGTGTTGGGTTTAACCTTTTTGAAGAATAGTTTTTAATAAAATCCTGAAAGAAAAAGTATAGAAAAAACTGTAGAAAGCCAGAAAACTGAGTTCTTTTTTTCTGTCTGGTTTAACCTTCGCTGTGAAATTCCATTAACATCACTAGAATTTTGTAAGTGGCTACGCTTTGTATTGGAGTGAATTTATTAAAATGTAGTGCTTTGTTTGATTGCTTTGAACGTTGTTGTAGTTTATAAAATACAAGGTATTAGTTGCAAAATCCTGAGTGGTGTCTAATATGATTGTCTCAGTCTCTTAATTACACAATGGTTTTTGCCTATGGAACTTTTCCTTCTTGAAAATGAAGGATTTACCTTCCAGTTAAGCAACACCATGCATCTTCTTCTTATCAATCAGCCTCAACTATATATTTCTTTGCATCCCTATACATCCCATTCAATAATTCAACTTATTTTTAACAGTGTCATTATATATATATATGAATATTAAAAAAAGATATTATTACTGAATTAATTTTTTATTAACTTGATGCCATACTATTCATTCATGTCTTGGATCTGTTTTCTTTTTTTTTTTTTTTCTGAAGGAGAGAATTAATTTCTACCTCCTGTCAATTGAATTGAGCCAAATGGGAGTTTTGGGTGGCCACATTTTTGGGTAACTTTGGTGCAGTATTTTTTGTGGATTTTGGTGCAGGCAGTTTTGTGGTGAATGGTGCAGCATTAATAGAAATGTGTGCAGAGTCGGTAGAAATGGGTTTGCTTTTTTTATGGGCAGATATTGGTACACTTACTGTGCAGATAGAATAGAAATGGTTTTAGTGTTGTTTTGGTGTAAAATGTTGGGATTTTTTATGTAATTCTGAAGCATTAATGGCTTTTTATTGGCTTAATTGGTGGTTATAATCATCAAATCTTCAATGACATTATGTATGGTTCATATATGTTCAATGCAAACATTTTTTTATGAGTTACTTTTTAATTATGGAGTATTAGTGAATCTACCACATAGTTTCCAGTTATTGCATTTTTTTTTTTTTTTTTTTTTTTTTTTGACTGATTTTTTGCAATTTGACCATTTGTTTGGTGTGGTCTGATGTTTTACTGAACCATAACAAAAACTGATTGGAATTTTAGCACAGGATGTGTTGGTGGCCAACGAGCTCCTCATTTACTAGCTGGCGTCAGTTAAACAAAGGAAGCAACTGCCGTCGAAAACAATACAAACTATTATCAGCGCCGTTCAAAAAAAATAAAACTACAGAAAACTGATTTTTTTTTTTTTACAGGCATTGTTTGGACCACTCTAGCATTCAAAAAACTGTTCTAATTATATAACCGTAATTTAAAATATAAGCGCATACGTAATTTCCACTTAATTAGCGTATTTTACACTACACATGTTATTAGTAGTATAACAATATTATATAGGGGGGCATCTTTATTTTTGCCACATGTCCATTAATTTTTTTATCGGTGAATATCAAAAATCAAAGATTCAAGGGCATTCAGTAAAAAACCTTATATGATATATGCCAGATCCCAGCATCACTAATAATGTTTAATTTAAAAGTGAGAATATAAAATAAATGAATACCAAGGGAAAACTTTTGCAATTTCGAGACCTTGGTTGGGAAGTGGAACATGTCGTATATATAACTTATTGGACTGGCCTCCCACCGATTGATCGACCCATCACCGTTCCGGCTCGAGTCAACACTAAAAACCCCACTACTATGTAATAACCCGATCTAAAAGCCGTTTAAAAAACCAGATAAAATGTGTTGAACCTTGGTCCAACCGCCGGTCCGACTGGAACCGGCGGATAAACCCAACTGAAGTTTCAAGAATGGAAAAAACTCCCATAACTCACACAAGACGCAAGGCCATTCCCTTCTGATTCCATTCTTTCTCAATTTCTCGTTTTTCAAATTTCCTCCAACTCTTCTCCTACGCAGATCCTCTAATGAAATTCCCCTCAAATCGCAATAAAAACTCCACTCACCTGAAGTCTAACAATCGCACCCATCACCACAATTGCAACTGAACTTCTCTGAAATCTGACGCGGGACGCCTTCCTCGCCTCGTTGAAATCGATGACGACAGCTCAATTCCCTGCTTGAAATCGACAACGACGAGACGGTCTGCTCCATTCCCGATAGAAATCGATGACGGATGATGTTGATAGCCATTCCTCGTTAGAAGCGATAACGACGACACCTTTGTTCTTCGTTGGAAATCGTGACGATTAACTCCCCATTCGCGGACACCCATGTAATAAACAAGCCATCATCAGTTCATCTTCGATAAGATTCGTTTTTAAATGCGTAAATGTGATTCTTTTTGTTTGCAAAAAGTTTCATTTATTACTCTTGAACAATTCATTTGTCATGAGGAGCGCAGTTTTTTTCTTATCGAAGGTAAACAATAATGCTTGCCAGATTAATGC